TGGCTGAGCGTGGTGCTGACAACACCAAGTCTAGGGTTAAGATCCCCTTACCGGTCATCTTTAAAAAAAAAAAAAAATACACACACACACACACACACACACACACACACACACAAAAACACCCACAAGTATAAGTGCATTTCAGATGTATACACAGATACATACTTTACATGGTCTAAAACAAGTTTAGACAAATCCAGATTGTACCTAATACTCATAAAAAAGTAGCATTCAGTTCTTACTGTCCATTAAGGTCAACTTAGAGCAGTAACAGACTGAAAAAGACCAGGTACTCTTGCAGAAACATCCTATGCCCTTGCTGGCATGTACCAATCCTTTCTAGCCCATTCCTTACTCTAGCTTACAGCCAAGTTGTAATTATCCATGAAGTGCAACAGGACAGGATCTGCTGTGTACCCAGAACCCTTTGAGTACCTGGCACACATCTCTAGGAAGTAACAGGTGCAAATCTAGTTTTTCAAATTCTACATCTTGACGTAACAAATACATATGACGGGACTTCAAAATATTTGTGAAAAATGGAATTAAAAGATAATACAAATCTTTCCATGAACTTTTTGAAATCCCCTCATATGCTACTTCCATTACAACTTTTAAATCATTGTGCCCCAGACCAGTGATTTTGAAGATGTGGTCTGCAAAGTCTCTGTGGCTTAAGATTATATGTCCCATAGATTGGCCCAGCAGTATACAGTTAATGAATTTTCCAATGTGTAATTATAATCTGCATTAAAAAGCACAAGAAATATACATTTAAAAAATATAGACACAATAAGGAGGATTTACTTGGCTATAAATTTAAAAGAACATTAATTTGGAGAGACACTTTCAAAATAGAGTAAGGACTACACACATGGATTCCAGGCCTTTTTTCCCACCCAAAATCATCCAGGTTAAATTTTAACTACTACAGGAGAACCCTAGGCTTCTAACTATTTCCATATTTACATGAGTTAATCATTTGCTTATAAACTTGAATGAAAACCAGATATCACTCGTTGTTGTCTCCTAAACATTTAGCACATGTTCTACTATTCTATACTGGTGTCATTTTTCACAGTGGCAAAAGGGCAAGGCTGGTAAAGTTATTGTCCATATACTGTCCACAGGGATCCTGTGCTCTGCTAAAGATTTTCTTGGACTGAAATATATAAAAATTACTTTTCCTTATTAATCAATTAAAATAAATACTGTACATTAGTAAAATAGCCAGTCCAAAAGTCAACTGGGATCAGCACTTCTCAAATGTTAATGTGATATGAATCAGCTGTATCTTATTAAAATGCAGATTCTGGTTCAGGAGGACTGCACTGGGCCTGAGATCTCCGTCTCTAACCAGCTTCTAGGTGATCTCACACTACCCATCTCCAGGCTGCTCTCTTGAGTGGCAAGGTCTTTCACAAAGTTCCTGGAAGGATTCATATTATCTTTTAATTCAATTTTTTCATGAACTTTCTGAAGTACCCTCTTAGATAACCCCAGAGACTATCATAAGTAGTGCTCAAAAATCATATTCTTGAAAACAGGTACTCAAGCAAACACATGTACATAAAGGTCCGCAGCAGCACAATAACCAGAAGACAGAAAACAGCTCATCAATGTCCACCAACGGATGGAGGGTAAGCAAATTACAGTACAGACACAATGCAATGTTATTCAGCCACACACACACACAAAAAAGAAGTACTGATACATGGTATGATGCAGATGAGCCTTGAAAATGTTAGGCTAAGTTAAAGCAGCCAGGCACAAAAGGGCATGCTATTTACATGATATGTCCAGAATAAATAAATCTGCAGAGACAGAACGTAGATTCAGATTCGTGGTGACCAGCGGCTGCGGGAGGGGAAAAAGGGAGCGAACGTGTATGTGGTTTCTCTCCAGAGTGATGAAAACGTTGCAGAACTAGACAGAGGTGGTGGTCATATAGCATCGTGAATATAGTAAATGCCACTGAATTGCTCATTTGAATATGGTTAATTTTATGTTCTGTCAATTTCACCTCAATTTCTTAAAATGGGAGAAAAATCATGTTCGTAAAATGGTGTTAAATACCAAAAAAAGATAAAACCCAAGATTCAATGACATACATAAAAATATTTCCCATTGCGATGTAACATTTCATACAGCCCACTCAAATCTCTGTCTTTCTTCATTGATGATATGCAGATATTTACCATGTCTACCACAGAATTGTCAGGAAAAGGGAAAAAATTATTCTTTTTTTTTTTTTTTCCCCTTTTTGTCTTTTTTTGTGACCGGTAACGGGATCGCAACCCTCGGTGTCGCGCCCGCACCGCGCTCAACCAGTGAGCGAACCGGTCTCCACATGGGACCCAAACCCTCGGCAGGAGTGCCGCCACACTCCCAAGCGCCGCACTCTACCAAGTGCGCCGCACTCTACCAAGTGCGCCACCGGGCCGGCCCAAAAATTATTCTGAAAACCCTAAAATACTATACAAACAAATAATGCTATGTTATTTTTACTATTGAGTGCATTTCTCAAATTGTGGTCTCAGGGCTAAGCAGTTAGTTCAGTCAGTTAGAGCATCGTGTTATAGATGAAGGTCAACAGTTCGGATCCTTGTACTAGCCAACCACCCCCCCACCCCCCAAAAAAGATCTGGTGATTACTGAAAACAGATATTGCAACTAAATTACCAAATCTCTGGATAGATATTAAGTCTTCTAGAAAACACTGTTTCTCACCTGTTTCCTTTACAATGAGACCAGTTCTGTTCAATGGTATTTATTATCCTTCACCTCTATCTTTAAGAAAATAAAACAAATAAATGTACCCTTCCATTCATTCCTTTTGTCTGAAATGCAAAGATCAATACTAAAGATCAATGCTTGAGAGAGAGAAAGCCTCTCCCATGCTCGTCACAGTCAGCAGCAGCTGTGCTTCAGTGTCTGCTACATTGGAAGAGGCAGCATCCACAGGGATTTTCTTTCACTCTAAGCCCTGCTCTCTTTGAGAGGCACAGGCGAGGCATGGAGTCATGGAACAGGTCCCTTTGCTCGGCATGAATCAAACACACAAGTATCTTAACTCAAGGAAAAAGATTGCTAAAGGCCTTCAAAAGTACACATTTAGTTATCCTTTTCACTCAAAATGCCACTACCCGTTCTCCCAACTTTCCCCATATCCAACCAATAAAGAGATAACAATCAACCTGATAAGAACCCTTTTTGCTAAAAGCACTTACTCCCTTCTGTGTTGAAGCAACAACACACAGCACAACTCACCGCAAAGATCTTTAACAAAGTTTTCATGTAGAGCTTTCGGATACCAAAAGAGACTCCAAAAATAGCTGGGACTATGATGAAAACGAGGAGGAGGGTGAAGAGGACAGTCAGGGAGATGCCCAGAAGGTTGACAATCAGGCTATCAAAAGGCAGCAACAGGAACATGGTGGAGGATCCAGGCAAGGCCAGGGCCCTCCGCCCCAAGAACACACCGCAGCCTTCAGATGGTCCTTTCCGAAAGCACCAGCCTGGGAAAGGAAGCAAGTCCCCAAAGGATATCAAACTCCATTCCAAAGTTCACATTATTCAACTGCCTCAGTAGAAGGCTTGGGAGCAGAATGATAGTAGAAAAGGGCCACAGCAGGCAACCCGAAAATGCCAGGTCTCCCCAGAACAGACGAGCCTTGGAGGTGAACAAGGCAGGATAAATCTTCAGTGAGAGCATCTGAGTCCAGGCTGAGTTTCTGTGTAGTGAGCAAAAAGGGAGTGGTCTCCGCTCTGTTATCCTTACTCTGCTTCCAAAGGTTTTACTTTTTTTTTCCTGCTCAAGAGCATTTAGCAGATAAATCTGCCCTGAAGATCTGTCATGGCCAGAAGTACCAAGAAGAGTTCCACTTGGTGCCAAAAAAGTCCTTATAACTCCTGTGCAGGGAGGATGGCTGCTGGCACTTCACAAGAAGGCTTTCGAACTTGAATATGTGGAAATTAAATAATCATTTTACTTAATATTTCTTAATAAGCTGAAAATCATGTTCACTGTATAGAGTTCATATCTGGTCCCATCCTCCCTCTAAAGAGGCTCCTGGTGCAGGCTGCTCCCAGGACCCTCCTACCTGAGAGCTACAGCCTTTGCCAGTAGGACACAGATGCTGGCACCGAATGTCTCATGTTGCCTGCGGTGAGCGTAACTCCAGACGTGTCTGGCATTGGCTTCCTCTGGACATTCTTCCCTCTAAGGCCCCCTTCTCAGTGGTGAGCTGGGTTCTTGGCAAAAAGTTGCTTAAACGCTGCCAATGCTGAGGGTGGAAAGAGAAACACTGTCAGTCACACAAATCAAGAGGAGAAACATCAATATGCTTTGGGGGCCACTGTTTCAGGGCAAGCCTATGGTCAGTGCCAGTTTCTCAAGTCATCAAGGTCAAAGGGACCAGGCAGAGGCAGTAGATGTTTCATATGGCTTTCAACTCCAACAATACATCTGTGGTCACCCAAACTTTTTGAACAGAAAATATATGTATACGACACGTTTCAAAAGATAAAAAGGGTATACAGTACTATGAAAAGTAACTCTCCCTTCTACCTGTCACCCAGTAATGCGGAGTTCTTCTCCAGAGAGACAACCACACACCAGCTCCATATTCTTCCCAAGAAATTCTATGCTCATGCAAGGAAATCATGATTACTCCCCACCCCAGCCTGGCAACAACAGTGGTGACACACCATTCTTCACCTTGCTTTTTTTAATTTTATTTTTTAGCTGAATGTATCTTGGAAGAGTGTTCCATCAGTGCATACAGAGCTCCCTCACTCTGCAGGTGCACAGTTTTCAACTCTAAGAATGTACCAGGATTTAGTTAACCAGTCTCCTAAGGCTATAGACACTTGAGAGTTCCACTTTTTTCTTGTTATAAACAATGTTGTAATGAATAACCAGGTGCATACGTGATTCAGTACACAAAATGCACATGGCAAATACATTTTCACATAAGTTCCTAGACATGGAATTGCAGGGAAAAAGGAAATACACATTTTTAATTTTGCAAGATATTGTCACATTTTCTACATAGAGATTAAGCCCCTCCAGTCTATCTCCCCATACTGGCCACTCATTTTAAAATTCCACTATTTCAAATATCTCACAAAAGCATTCCAATTTTATATTATTTACTCTAAATTACAAGTCACCAATGTAAATCCTGAACTTGGGGGCATCCTTTCAAGTCTTTCTGGCAAAACATTTTGTCTTCAGACCAATCAGTACCTAGCTCTGCTCCAAATAATTTGGAAGTTCAAGAAATTGAACAAATAAACAGGAACCAGCTTCACCTGAAATTTTGTCCAGTGCTTTACAGAACTCAAAGCCCTTCACGTGTCACCTCATTTGGTTATCCCACAACCTATCCACACGTATTATTTCCATCTTACAAATCAGGAAACTGAGAGAGGCAGGCAGTTCCAGTTCTTCTGTGCTGCTCCCACCACACTCCCACACATCTAGTGATCAAATGCTCAACAAGGACAAGATGTTTCAGTGGCAATGAGTCACAAGTACTAGTTCCTATTCCTGACCCCCACTTCTTCCATAGTCTCCCACTTTCACGTTATCATTACCACTGCTGACATTTGCTGATGCTTGCAGCAGGACGGACACAGAGCTAATAAGCACTTCACATATGCGATCCTCTCTTACTTCTCCTAACGACTCAATGGTGGAGTGGTTCTTGTCATCGCCATTGACAGGTGAGGATACTGCGGCTTAGAAGATTAAGTAAATTAGCCAGGGTCACACAGCTATGAAGTGGCAGAGTAGGAATTACTACATAACAAATGCCTGTGTCTCAGAGCCAGGGCTCTTTCACCACCACACCTTCCTATCTCCCATACTACCCTGAAATACATCAACTCTTCCTTCATGCCAGGCCTGCTCTACAGAACCTCTTGTGATTAGAGAAAAACTATAAGGCAAACTTGGATTCACATATCAGAATCTGGTGGTGTTCTCAGAATCCAAGGTACAGACCTGCTGGTTCATTTTTATAAACTGGCCAAATTGTACATGCCAGATTTCCAATTACACTCCAAGAGAGGTTCAGGAGTTTGAGTCACTGTATTCCTTAAACTTGTCCAGTCCTAGCCTAATTCTAGGGCCACACCTCCATTCCCCTCTGCCACCCCTATCCTTCTGCTCCACTTGGCCAGAATTCCCATGGGAGAGAGGCAGCAATAGCCCTCTGTCCCACTGGCCAAGATTACCTTGAGTTCAACCGACCCATGTGACCGACACTAGAGTCACTCTGATGCCCCCTGACCGAGTTTAGAATGCTTTTCTTTGGATCACAATCAACTGAGAATTCCCAGTTATCCTGGGTTCATGTCCCCAAAATATTAAAATAAACACATGTAGCAATAAACTCATTTCTTCACCTAGTTCAGGGGTCGACAAACCACAGCCCACAGGCCAAGTCTGCCTATGGTCTGATTTTATGAGATTAATGAGCTAGAGAAGGTCTTTACATCTTTAAAGAGATGTAAAAAACAAAGAATATGAGACAGAGACAATGACCTACAAAGCCTAAAATATTTACTATCTGACCTTTCACAGAAACAGCTTGCTGATCCATGACCCAGTTGATCTCTTCTTCCCTCAGATAGTGACCTCTCCCCGAGTTGTCTGCCACCCCCATTATGTACAAGTGCCAGCCTCAGAACAGAGAAGAATAAAGTAGACAAACAAGTGACCTGGCCAATGTTAAACAGTCCTCACACAAATTCTTAGAAGTAAAGGAAACAGCAAACAAACTGTGGTTATCAAATAACTTTGCAAACGACTTGCTGGATTAGCAGAAAAATCAATAAAGCTGAAGGATCTGGTGTCTTAAGGTCCCCTTAATACAGACGTTGATATCTGGAAATATCAGAAAACTGCTCGCATCAGACCCCAGTCGGGCTGGCTGCTTAGCTCAGTTGGTTAGAGCATGGTGTTGTAACACTAGGTCAAGTATGCAGATCCCCATACTGGCCAGCCGCCAAAAAAGAAAAACGACGACCTCAATCCAACCACAATTTCTAGGTAACTGCTCATTTAGGAGAGGGTATCATTTGCCTCCAGTCAAGATCACCTAGAGCCCTTAGGGTGTGAGGCGGGGAAGCCGTGGATGCAGAGGAACGTCTGCTCACCCTCCTAACTTTCACGGCTTGATCCAGCTAAATTCACTGAGAATCAATTGGACCAAAATTCTTCCAACAGCCCACGTGTTCCAGAGAAGAACCAAATAGTTCTGAGCCTTTTAGGAAGAAAGATGGCTTCACCCTAGGAAGGTGACAGAACCCACAGCTAAGCTAACTCAACTCTTCAACCCACTGAATGGCAAATCTAGGCCTCTAGGCTCCCAAATGGCCTCAGTTCTTGGAATGACCAAATATTCATTCATTCAACAAATATTCACTGGGCACACAGTATACGCCAGATATGATGTTAGGTGTTGGATATTTAGCAGTGAACAAATATTCCTAGAGACAAGTACCAAGTAAATAAGCATACATACAGTCATAATTTCAAATGTTGATGACTGTTAACAAGAAAAACAACAGAGACCTAGGAGAAAAAATAACAGGGAACTTCATTTAAATTGAGGCATCTACAGCAATTCTGACCCAATCACAAGCCATCATCACCCCTTATTGCAGAAGCAAGTAATTTTCTACTAGCTCTCTGCGACACATCCTAAATTCAGGAAACCATGCCTGCCAGAATCTGTCCAGAGAGATGCCATGTACCAACTCAAAAGATAAAAGAAATGCTATTTTATTAAAAATAAATGTTTAGACTACACAAGGATACATGCATTTTTAAAGCACACCAAACACAATGTCTGTCACATACTAGATCTTAATAAATGGTACATATTATCACTGCATCAGGACCAAAAGAGACCCAGTGTTTTGTCTTCAGTTCTAGGTAACAAACTTTAAGAAGGAATAGAGAAGATGGCATTTCAAAATATGACACAAAATCCAAAAGCCAAAAAATACTATATGCCTAGCAAGGAGTAAGTGCTCAATAAAAGGTCTGCTGTAAGACAGAGAAATCTAAATTAAAACTAGTGAGATGGCACAAAATTTTGGATAAAGCACTGTATTAGTGAGAATGAGAAAATACCCGCAAAATAGTGGTGGTAAAGTGTAAAATGGTACAACTTCTATGGAGAACAACTTAGCAGTTGCCATAAAAATTTTAAATGTACATAACCTTAGATCGAGCAATTCCACTTCAAGAAATTTATACTAAGGATAAATTAGAGCAGCAGTTCTCAACCAGGGGAGATTTTTGACCCCCTGTGGGAACATGTGGCAATGCCTGCAGATATTTTTGGTTGTCACAAGTTGGGGTGGGAGTGCTACGGCATCTAGTGCACAGACATCAGGAACGATGGTAAACATCCTATGATGCACAGGACAGCTCCCACAATAAAGAATTATCTGGGCCCAAATGCCAATAGAGCTGAGGTTGGGAAATCCTGTACTACGGCATGTGCAAAATATATGTGCTAGGTTACTGACTGCAGCATTGCTTGCAATATCAAAAGAAACATCAATGCCCATCAATAGAGATTACAATGAATGGAATACTAATCATATCTTTTAAAAAAGAGACATCTGGGCCGGCCCGGTGGCGCACTGCTATAGTGCGCCGCTTGGGAAGCGCGGCGGCGCTCCCGCCGAGGGTTCAGATCCCACATACAGACCGGTTCCCGCTCACTGGCTGAGCGAGGCGCGGGGGCAACGCCGAGGGTTGCGATCCCGTTGCCGGTCCCGGTCCGGAACGGGGGCGACAATGAGGGTTGCGATCCGTTGCCGGACACGGTAAAAGACAAAAAAAAAAAAAAAAAAAAAAAAAAAAAAACTAA